AACAAGAAAATGCTCCTCACACCCAGGGTGTGGCTCTGATGTTGTCCAGGACAGCTCAGAGGGCACTAATCGGATGGGAGGGGCACGAACCACGGATCATCACAGAAACCTTCCGCACAAATGAGAGGAGAATCAACATAGATATGATCCAATGCTACGCCCCAACGAATGATAGCGATGACCAAGACAAGGAGGAGTTCTACAGCAGACTGTTAACCATCATCCAGGATCTCCCAGAACGAAACGTCATCATTGTAATGGGAGATTTTAATGCCAAGATTGGCAGTGATAACAGGGGCTACAAGCGACCTGGTCATAGGAGGGAGTTACTTCCAACACCGAAGGATACAGAGAGCGACTTGGGTGTCACCAGACCTGCAGACAGAGAATCAGATTGATCACATGTGCATCGGGAAGAGATTCCGAGGAACTCTTCAAGATGTGCGTGTCAGGTGAGAGGCAGACGTGGCTTCAGACCACCATCTTCTGGTTGCACGGTTGAAGCTCAAACTGAGGAGGAAATGGACAGGAAGGACAAACCAACGCTTGGGGTACATCACCTTTCTTCTGAATGATATCTACAAACGGGAGGAATTCAGCATCACATTCTTCAATAAGTTCCAGGCCCTGCAAGAGCTGACGGAAGAGGAAACTATTGACGTAAGGTGGCAGAGAGTGAAAGGAGAGGTTACATCGACATGCAATGAAGTGCTGGGTCCGAGGAACCCCAACCACAAGGGGTGGATTTCCACAGAGACACTGAAGAAGATTGAGGAAAGAAAAGCAAAGAAGGCGGCTGTTAACAACAGCCGAACACGAACTGCAAAAGCTAAGGCGCAAGAGGAGTACAAAGGGGTGAACAGGAGTGTCAAAATGAGCCTTAAGGCAGACAAACGCAACCATCTGGAGTCGCTGGCAGCAGAGGCTGAAGAGACAGTTTATCATGGAAATATGCGAGACCTTTATGTTACCATAAGGAACCTATCGGGAAAATATAGCAAGCCAGAGAGACCGGTGGAAGATAAGGATGGGCAACCAATATCTGATTTAGAGGGGCAGAAGAAGAGATGGGTGGAGCATTTTGAGGAGCTGCTCAACCGACCTGCTCCCCCAGACCCTCCGGACATACAACCATCCGACACCGACCTACCCATTGACAGTAGCGCACCCACAAAGGAGGAGATTCAAAACGCTATCGAGCAGCTGAGAAATGGCAAGGCTGCGGGACCTGACAACATCCCAGCAGAGGCACTGAAGGTCGACATCAG